ATGTTATTGATGGGAACGGACACGCAGTAGGTACCTATAGCTTACAATTCCTAATATAGGCCATCAGCAACTCGCTATAGTCGCTACGGTCGTTGATGTATCTAAACTCTAAAGCTTCCCAAATAATTTTCAGCAGGACTAATACTATGGTATAAACTGTGAAATCAACTAGAAATGTATATTTGTTAAGTAAACATTGTCCATCACTTAAACAATTATTTTACTCTCAGACATTTTTTTATTGCTTGAGATTATTTTTAGTTTATTTTAGGTAAATTGAAATTTTGAACCACAGTATGTAAGTATATTTATCAGGAACAACTAGAAAAAGGCTATCATTGTATATAATCAAACTATATCATCTACTATCATTTCATATAATTATTATGTAGGTACATTTTGAAATTTGGTTAAGCTTCTAAGGTACACCCATATGCGTCTTCGTCTTACTAACGCTTAACATAGCAAATTGTACGTTCTCAAGAAACCACTTAACTCTGTTATAGTATGTTTAATATTACTTTATTAGAGAAAACTGATGATTAGGTCGGATTAGGTGTTTTCAATTAATGAATTCTATCGTTTTTTCGAAGATTCACCCACACGAAAAATTTGCTATGTTATACGTTTGAAAGACGGAAACAACGCATGCGAGTTTACGTCCTCTTAATTTAAAAATAAAAAAATACTAAAAACCATTAGAAATGAAAAAAAGTAACTTGCGAATTGTTAAAATTAAAATCAGTAAAGATAATTTCATAAATCATGATCATAGATAAACATATAATTTATATATCCCCATATGCGTATTTTTGTTGGTAAAACAATAGTCGTGAATCATGCAAATTGTTTATTTATACTGTTAAAACTTTAATAGTTTAGTATAGCTGTACCTATATGATAGATCATATAATATTATTGTTTCATACATAAGGTATTACACGTACCTATAATGTGGTGGGTGTTGACTGTTTAGAGTTCATGAACATTTTTAATGAGATGTCTATGACCGATGTACGTATCTAACACATGTGTACAGAAATAAACATACACATAGCGAAAGGTAATATAGGTATTGTGACAAGTTTTCAAATGAATACAGTTTTAGGCCTGGACTTTTTTTTTCGGCAGTCATTGCACAATATCTATACAATATTTATTATTCACGAATGCATGTGGGCAGAGCACTAGACGTTTTAGCATCGTAACTATGTATAGAGTACCTACACAGAAAATCGTGAGTTGACAAATGTATAACTATGTAAGTGTCATCAGCACTGTGAAAATGAAAAATACCTACAGTTAATGATAGCAGCAGTAGGTAACGTCAAAATGTCAAATCCGTGCAGCAGCACTGCTGTCGTGTGTGTACTGTACTACAGCTTACATAAAAATACATATACAATTGAAAGTACCGTGTTAGTACAGTGGTGTGCATAATATAATATGATATTATGTGTGTACGATATATACGACGCGAAATAAACGATCCAGCATAGATGAGGACCGTGTGCGAATAAGGTAAAGTAGGATGTTTTTGACTGTGACGGCTTGTCGCCTGTGGGTGTAAAATACTTGTGATTTGTGAATGCGTGCATGTAAAATTATTTCGCGAACAATAACAAGTAGGTAGGTACCTACCCAATGGGTATTGGTTGAAATGACGACGGCATTATTTGACACTATAAATTTAAAAACACATTATTTTCGCCTTGTAGTTGTACCTTATATAAATATATATAATATTATAGTTACCGGACATAATTCGTGAGTCGTGACCAATATGTCAACATCACTGCAAACATCATGATTTGAAACAAAGTCGTAAATATTAAATTGCTAATATAACATAGTAATAAATGATAATATTTAACAAAACTATAAGCTATAGAAGATAGAACTAAATCTTTGCCCATATTTTGATAAATTATACACGCACATCACACATGGCACATATATTGCAAGCAGTAAAATATATTGTGCATCGATTCAAAATTGCCATTAGATAGCCATTAGACTTACTTAGTTTTTATACTGTGCCATAGTAAAATCTACTACTTTAGCAACAGTACCTATAATAGATTTACAATAATGGGAAAGGATTTAAAATAAATATGAGAGTTTATTTATATAATTATTCTTCAATAATATGTTCGTTGACTATATAGACTCAAAATTACCCAACCAATTTCAACGAAAATTTCAGAGATTGTTCTAAGAGATATCAGGAAAAGTTGGAAAGGTTTTTGAACCACGTTCGAAAATACGAGTGTACCAAGAGCTGAACAGAGTTACAATAAAACCGAGATATACCGATATAATGCCGTATTTTATATTTGTTCATTATTTCTCGGGCCAAATCATATTATACAGCTATAGACTATAGTATCCTCCATATTTGCGCTTGTATATGATATAGTTACATAGATATCCACATTTTGAAACATAAAATAATAATATAAAATAAACTTTAAACAATGCATATAGCAGTGGCGTAGCCAGGGGGGAGGCTGAGGGGGCTGCAGCCCCCTCCGAAATGTTAATAAAATTAAAAAATTATTTTAACGGTCTATGGTATTCGATCAAAAACTAAACCACCGCTGTGTAAAAAATTGATCAGCCCCCCTCGAAAAAAAATCCTGGCTACGCCACTGGCATATAGGTAGATAAATTGATTATAAATAAATAGTATTTATAATCAATGGTAATACTGTAGTAGGTACCGAATGTACTGAAATTTAGTTTCAATAAAATCGAGGATGTATCGTCAGTCGTTCTATAATGCGTAACTAATTAAAACGGAAGCTGTTTTAAAGAATGCACATAGACATTGTTATGTAAATTAATAAAGAAAAAAACATTGCGAAGCGAAGTCGTCATTCAAACGATAGTTCTGCAGCGATATTTTATTTATTTTATTTTTCTGAGGAAGGTGATTTTATATTACTATAGCATATTTTATATTTTTGTTTATTCTATTTTACTGTATAATAAGCTATTTAAATTAATAGAAGAAGGTTTTCATTTACTGTTTACACTATTTAAAACAAAACTTCACACAGGATGAACACAATAATATATATATATATATACTATATAGCCCGTGGACTGTTCGAATTGTATACGCTCTGCCATATTCATCAAACGTATTTAAGAACTTTGATCATCGTTAATAAATAATATATAATTCATTATTCCCGAAAATATATTTATTCCGACTACGATTTTAGTTTTTATGTGAATACGATATTTATATCGATATCTTATATAGTCATATCACTCATATATTGAAATATTTTTCATCTTACCTAGATTGCCTGCCCAAATATTTTTTATTTAAATGTAGGGACCCGTCTGGCTGCCTATAGGTTTAGGTTCCTAATCCTTACTACTGAATACTTATTTCATATTTTTAATTTAGACTATAATTTTACAATAATCGATAAAATATATTTTATATTACTTCCACACCAAATATACGTTCAATTAAGTAATACACCTATGCCCTATATGCATTAACTTAAACTATTGAAACTATTATATACCTAATATCTATACGGCAATGGCTATATAAGTATATTATGTAACTGTTCCTTACTGAACAATAAGTAAACGTCAGACGTACCTCGTACAGTCGTATATGCTCGGTAAAATATCTCGCATTTAATAAGTTATACACTAATAATACCTACATTTACATAATGCTTAGTCTTAATGTTTGCTAATAGTTTCTATAATATTGTCGAATTATTTATTAATGATAAATACATTTTAGTATTCTATACATCTATAGGTATTAAACTAAATATACACATATTACATACCTATTATATATTTGACACATTTCTGTTTTTTTAAATGTTATAATATAAAATATTAAAATTCATGGATTTTTTAATTTTTGGTACGATGGTTACATAGAACTCTATTGATTAAGTAATATTTTTATTTAATTTTTTTTGATCAACAAAAATATTTCAAAATTACGAAACAAAATATTTACCAACCATTTTCAAGTTATAATACCATATCTATGCGTATATGTGGTTTGTATTGTTTTTATAATAAGCCATCACAATAGGCTTGTTAATTAAATATTCTACATCATTACCTACTAAATACTATTATAACATTTACTTATTGGTAAATTATGAATCTCTTTCAATTAAATTTAGATACTTGTACCTATACATAAATGTTATTTTTGTCACAGTAGGTCACGAACTCACGAATAATCTATAGAAAATAGTAGGTATAACTATCTAAGAATATTTCATAATTCAATAATGATTAATTCAAAAGTGCAATTCACGTCATAGGTGATCATCCAGAAAAAAAATAATTTCTAAAGATATCCCACGGACTTCTTTATTTGGTACCTCGTTGTGAGTATGAAGTAAACGTAACTCCAGTACCCTAACATTAATTTAATATAATAACACACAAGTCGCAGAAGCAGCCTGAATTTAATTTTTCTAAATCTAGTTTAGTGTTAAGCAATGCCAATGTATAATAACTTTAAATCTGAAAGTTAAAAGGTATTATAAGATTAAGTTGTTTAAAATATTAAAAATAATTAACATACCTATACCTAATATTAATACATTATTATGGACTTCAAGTTTGGCTCGTATTAAATCTTGTTTAATCAACTGGTTTTTTGAAAATAAGACAGTTATATTATACACATAATAAGTTATAATAATTAACTGGGTATATTATATAGTTTTACGATTTTCACTTTTCTTGTTATGGGTGAAGCGTGTCAATATATTCTGTTCAGGAGCCGCGGATCCGGTGAATTCGAAAGGAGTTAACGTGATAAATGATAATTATAGATATTTATGGACACATGTATTATATATAACCCTCTGTGTACTGTATAAATGTAGAATACATAAATGAAATTGTATCTCTTTATATATCAAATAACACAATAGATGATCTCTTCCACCAGTTCCACCAATCAACAACATTAACGTTTTACTTTCTTTTTACAGATCATAATGATTTTTGGACCAAAACTGGTCATCGGATTCATCCTGTGGGCGCTGGGATACAAAGAAACCAATGGACACGGACGACTAATTGAACCACCCTCCAGGGCATCCATGTGGAGGTGAGTTTTTTTTGTTTTAAATCTCAGTGATATCAATTGAACCCTGACAATTTTCTCGATAGGTATGGCTTCAATACACCACCAAATTACAACGACAACGAGTTGTATTGCGGCGGCTTCACGAGACAGTACCAGACGAACGGAGGCAAATGCGGTATATGCGGCGACCCGTGGGACGCTCCACAGGTTAGAACCTAACACTACTTAATATACGTTATTGGACATAGCCATTTTCCTCCCAAAACAAAAAAACAAAAAAATCTAGACCATTTTCGTCTACTGTTAAAATAAAAAATTGGGGCCCCTTAATTAATTTGAATAGGTAAATAGGTTAATATACTTAATAGGTAGATATCTAAAATATATGATATAGGTATTATTTTTATGCATAACATTTTTAACATTTTCTGGCCAAGAATATTTTTTTTATTTACTTTAATGGACCTATATAAATATGAAATAAATAAAAACTAAAAATCATTGTGATGAAATATAGTAGAATATTAATTCTAAAAAGAGTGTTATAAATTTATTAATACTATTAAGGTACTATATATTTATAATGATTTTTAGTTAATAATATAGATTTAAATATTAAGAATATATACTTGAATTTAAAATAATTCTAAGTTAATGAGGGATCCTTGCTCAGCAAGTCCAAGCATGTGGGAGGAAAATGTCCGAAATTCCAATAAATGAGACGATTGATAACGCTCTTTTGTTTTTCTGCAGCCGAGACTACACGAAGCTGGCGGAAAGTATGGCCAGGGAGTGATTGTGCGCCGTTACAAAATTGGACAGCCAGTAATTGTGCGCATCGAGCTGACAGCCAACCATCGAGGGTACTTCGAGTTCAGGCTTTGTCCGAACAATGCACCCAAGCAAGTTGCTACCCAGTCGTGTCTGGACAAGTACGTTTTGCGGAGGGTTAAGACTAAAGACGCCATTGAAGCGTTCCACGACACTCGATTCTACCCAGGCACCGAGAACAAGGTGTACGAAATGAGGTACCTGCTTCCCGAAGGATTGACGTGCAGTCAATGCGTGTTGCAATGGAAGTACATTGCGGGCAACAATTGGGGTGAGTGCAGTAATGGCACTGGTGCGGTGGGCTGCGGGCCTCAAGAGGAGTTCCGGGCATGTGCTGACATATCGGTGTCAGACAGAGATGGCACAGTCGATACGTCACCATACCCAACTCCGATAACAATAACGACGTCTACTACCAGTGCCACTGAGTCTGAAGACACCAACGAAATACCAGATACGACAGAACATCATAAGCCACAATCTACAGGATTCAGCTTGGCCATATTTATCATATCTATTATATTATTGTCATTGGGCTTCATTTTGATGGTATTCATGTTTGTGTACTGGTACTTCTATCATGCTGGAGACACCATAAAATCATGGTGGAGAAGAATGGCTGAATCATCTAATTCTTGCATGCGAAAAAGTGTCAATGAAGAAAAGAAAACAAGCAAAAATGAACAGCCTATACCACCACCTAGGGTAAAGAAGACCACAATAGGTTTTAAAGGTGTACCCGACAATCTAGTGTAAGAGTATTAAACTATAAGTCATAATTTATAAGCTGTAAAGAAACTTTAATATTAATTTTACAATTTACAAATTGTGATCACACTTAAATTAAATTTACTTAATTAAAATCTGTATATATATTTAATATATTATGATATAACTAAGACTATGTGTGTCAAATGAAGACATGGTTATTATGAGTATTTTTTTTAAAACTTGATTTTATTTATATACTATTAATAGTGGTCTAAAAATTAGATATTCATAATAATAAGTAAGGTGTTAATGATTGTAATGATTATTTTATAAATGCATCTGATGTTAAATATAGTAAATACTAAATGTTAAATTATCATGGCAATAAAACTTTTGATTTTAAAAAATGTGTTTGATTGCCAATTTTTTAATTGAAAATCAAATTTCTTATGGATTTCTTGTTTGATGAATTATTTGTAGTAACTCCTGTTTCTTATGGAATGACCACAGAAAATATTAAAGAAGTAAATTAACATAAATCTTCTAAATATGTTTTTATTATTTTTAGTTATAAGACAATTTATTTAATCATTTTAATCATTTAATTGAAAATACTCACAATAAAGTCTATTACAAAAATAATTAGGTTTTATAGAAGAAAATTGAGTATTCTCGAACGATAAAATATTTTTAATTATACAAAGATAATATAAAAATAAAATAAGTATTATTTTAGTATTTTAAAACAAAAGTTATATTCAAAAGCTATTTACTTGCTACCAAGTAACATTTTTCTGAAGTCATCATTATTAAGTGGAGTTTTATCATCAGCAGATGTTGATGCAGTTTGGACAGACTTTTTTTGCAATACACTTGGTGTAAAAGATAGTTTTGAGCGACTAATAAAAAATAACAAAATTTATATCAAAAAATATTATTGAATGAAATAAAAATGAACTTACCGCCCTAATATTAGACTTGAAGATTGTGATTTAAATTTAGCAACAGGAGGATAAGATTTAATTTCTGAAGGATCTTTACGTTCTGGTGGCCGACTTAATGCTACTGATATAGTTCTATCTTTGATGACCATGTTGTCTGTTTTTAACAATGCTTGAGCAGCTGATACCTAATAGAATATGCAATTAAATATAAGGTTATAATAAATTATTATACTTATATTATTATACCTCGTCCTCAAAATCTACATAAGCTAATCCTTTTGAATGACCATTTCTAAATGTCACAACCCGAACATCTTTTAAAGCTCCATATGGCTTAAAAATATTTTCTATATCAATTTTTGTACAAGTGAATGGTAAACCTACAAAAAATTACAATCTTCTGTAAATAACTAAATGCGATGATAACGGGTTATATGACATATAAGTTATTTCAATTTTTGACAACAAATAACATTACAATCATTTTTTTTAATACTAAACATTTTAACTGACTGGAAATTCAGCATTTTTATTCTAATACAATTATATTGTTAGGTTAAAATTTGAATAAATTATGATTGAATACTTTGCTTGCTTTTTCATAATTTGTTTATAATATTGGTAAATAATAAAGTGTATTCCATAAGCAATAAAAAAAAAAAAGTTAGTAATTTATTTCAGATTAAAATCATGATTGTTTCAATTTTTTTTTAATAAGACAAATTATTTGAATTCTGAAAATTAGTTGATTAAAGAAATGTTTAGTAATGTTTTAAATTACTATATACTATATTAGACAAAGTCTAACATGGTCATGACTTTTTAGTTATAGTTAATTTGATAAATATAATATTCTATTCTGAAAGAATATGATTTTGTAACTATTAAAACGATGACATATTTTAACAATTATTTAGTACACAAATTAATATTCCCGTTACATTTTTAATTTGCATGTGTTAAACTGGTTAAGTAACACTTAAGTAATGTTAACAATATTGAATATTATGAATTTAAACAAGCAATAACATAAATTATTTTTGGTACATAATTTACTCATAAAAGACGAAAACCACATAATTGGATTAAATTATACTGTTGGTTTTCTTGAATTTTATAAAAATAACCAAAATGTTTTACCTTTAACAAATAATTTGTTTTTTTCTAGTTCAGTAGGAAATCGTAATCCTGATGATCTACTTTGTTTATCAGGTTGACATTTAGACACAAACATTGGTCGATTATTTACACATTCACGATCTTTTTTCAATGCTTCTGCAACCATTTCCTGCAAAACATAAATAGATCAATAATAATATTAATATTTAATAACAATAAATACTTACAGGCTTTTCAAAAAGTACATAACCAAATCCTTTAGACCGGCCTTTGAAATCTCTAACTAATAATACTTCACAATGACCAACTGAAGACAATGCATCTTTCACTTCCAATTCAGTCACAGCAAAATCCAAGTTGCTAACAAATACAGAACGATTTTCTTTACCTTCAACTTCCATATGTCGACCTCCTTTGTCTAGGTTTATTTCAGCTAAAACAATTTTTAAAACATTAATGTAACATAAGAGAAACATATTTATTTGTTATTAATAGTATTTTACCCATTTTTTTAAATATTTTCCTCATGTTTACCATAGTTCAGTTAATATTTTATGTAACACAATAGGTAGAACAAATTAAAATGAAATAATTGAATAATATATTATTGTAAATTTAGTACATTATTTAGAAATTCCAATATCAGTTATCTAAGTACCCATATTATCAGCTAATGTATGATTAAATTGAATTTAAAACACAGATACAGATAGTAGATACTATTGATGTATAAATATATGTGTTTAAAAGCCATATATTATTTTGTTTTAGCAGATAAAAATATCTATAAATCTTAAAATAATAGAATATCTGAAATAGTAAAAACTGAAAGTTTCAAGTTAATATTATTGATTCACACAGTTTAAAATAAACTGTCTACTTAATTATTTATCAATGATATGTATATTATAATATAAATCAAACTAACAAAAGAAAATAATGTATAATTTCCATAAATTAATACAAAAATTAAATTTGAAAAAAATAGTAAATAAAGAATAAATTACAACCAGTGATTTTAATCCTTATTAATAAATGAAAAAAAATATATATACATACATTTGGAGTAACGACATATTAACATATTATTTTTATGCCCATGTTTTTAGCGATGATGTATAACTATAAACTCAATAAGTATAATGAAATCAGTTTTAAAATAAAACCCCAAGAAACAATAAAATTGGTGGTAAAAACATAAATAATATTATACATCAATCTTCTCCATGAAAATACTTTTATATAAACATCATTGCTTGTCAAAGGCTTTTAAACTTCTGTACTGTTTTTTAAGGGTTTTTCAAGATCTAATCAAAAACAACTAGGAAATTTAATTAAATTGGCAATGGTGGCTAAAACTTTTTTTTTTTTAATGATTTTGTAGAGGAACAACCACTACTTGATACACAAAATAATTGACCTGAATCACTTGAAATCACTCTGATAAAATCTACTTCTAATAAATAATCAATTTGCATTACTGAAGAAACAAAATTTGAAAAATTGGGAGTTTACTGCTTAAAATGACCTTTCCATATACCAATTAAGCTTGGTCAATTTTTGGATCGATATACCAATTACACTCAGTCAATTTCCGGATTGTTTGACCAATTGAACTAAATAACAGCCTAATAATATTTATTTCATTTAATTGAACATAACATTATTTTTATTGGAATATAATCAACATCAATAATACATTCATAATCTAAAAGACATGAATATAGAATTATAATTTAATAAATAACTATGATAATATGATTCTATACTACAGTCCATTTTTGTGAAAATTATTTATATTTCATTAATAGTTTTTTTTTTTCAGATTTAATGACAAAATTGTGTTTACAATGTTTACATACATCCACTTAATTCCATTTATTGTCTTACTAATTTTTCAAAATTTTAACTCATTGAGATTTAACAATGATTTACTTTTTTCACTAAGACTTGGTTGCTAACAATTTTTTTCTCATCTATAATTCAAATGCATATTTTAGTTCGTTGATAATAATGATGTTTCATAAGAGTTTCGATATAATCATAGAATATTGGCAACTAACCAATGTTAATTTTTGTGTTTCTCAAAAAATCGATATATTTTTGTTCAAGATAGGGAGAGCAATTGGTATAACTGACCTTAACATACAATTTTTGTTTTAGGCGCAACTGATCTATGCCCGATAAATTGTATTTTATTTTAGGTAAGTGTGTTGTATGTAACCCATAACCTAAGAAAGATTGAATAATTTTGTATGATATATAAATATAATATATGATATGTAAAATATATATTTTTAGTATCTAAATAAACTGTTAACCAAAAAAATAAAAAAGGTACACATCATTATTAAACCACTTGCCTATCCCCTCATTTCACTCTAAAATAGCTAGTAAAATTATGATTTAAATTTACCTGTTTTAAATTTCTTGACAGGAGAAGATTCAGATTCTTGTCTATTGTCATTTTTGGCATAAGGCACTTTAAAGTTTCCATTTGATTTTTCATTACAAGTTTTAGTTGGTTCTTTTTCATCCCACTAAAAAATGAAGAACATTAGTTTAAAATGTAAAATAGATTATTACTTGGGGGACGAGGTGACCGAGTGGTCTGACTCTTCCGCTGCGACTCAGCCGGTCGCGGTTCGATCCTCGGCCACCGGGCGGCATTTTTCTCCGGACAAGTCGCGGTGACCGGAGAGCAAGTGCTGCCATCCCCCACCCCCGGGGCATGGCAGAAACCTACGGGTGCCCCATTCGAAATTCTGCCAAAAAACAAACACACGTGTTCCCCCCTACCGTACCAAAAACATACAAACCATCAATACAAAAACCTACAGTACCTACTAATAGCTAATGGCCACAGTTGCCGGGCTCAGGATCAATTAAAAAAAAAAAAAAAAAGATTATTACTTATTGCTAAAAGAGAATTACTTTTCTTTTTTTTGCTTCTTTCTCTTTAGTTCCCATTTTATTTTCAGATTTTGAATCTTTTTCGTGTGTTTCTTGAACTTGTTTCATTCTAATAACAAAATATAAAATTTAAATAAAATCAAATTAAAGATATACAACATTTTCCCTAATATTTTTTACTAACAATAATATTGCTTGAATTTGATTTACCACGGTTTAAACTGTAAATATAATATAAATTATAGATAACTATCAAGCAATATTTGTTTCTTACTAAGTCACTATCTGCTTGCTTTTATACTATTATTAATGATAATTCTTTCATTATTTAATAAAA